CACATGTAATCAGAGCTTCCCAACGTATGAACGAATGTACGTAAACGTGTATGCATGCGCGCTTGTCGGCGTGTCTGTTTGTCTATCTGTCTGTCTGTCTGTCTGTCTGTCTCTCTGTCTCTGTCTCTGTCTGTCTGTCTGTCTGTCCGTCCGTCCGTCTGTGTCTGTCGTGTCTGTCTGTGTGTGTCGGTGTCTGGTTGTCTGTCTATCTGTACTATACGTGTTGGTGGGGTGTCCGTGCCTGAAACAAGTCCAAGTCATTCAAGGTGTCCACACTTCCCTGGATGAAAGATGCTCGCTCATAGAAGCCGTTCAATGCAGCATTGAAACGTGTGAAGGTGAGGCATCTGGGGTTGATGTCCACAAATGTAGCCCGCTCTGCATAAGTTCTCAAAGCCACGATGCCCTGCACACCGCTGCCACAGCAGACGTCCAGGACTCGCTGTACAGGCTCACGGGGAGCTGCTGCGACCAAGGCGTAGGAGTCCAAGGACAGGTACATCACCGGCTCAAAATGTGCAGAATGCTGTGTATCGCCGTAGTCTGTCGCGATGAGTAGATCCTCCTCCACAGGCCAAAGCGCAATCGCAGAGAAAAGCTCCAGGTCGGCCTTGTGCGACTCAGTTGATAGCATCTCAGCAGCTTCCGATTCCGAGCAGACCCGGGAGTTCGGGCCCACGATAAGACAGAAGGCTTGCAGCCGCAGGAAGGCTGAGGTGATCTCCTCCCCAAGAAGGGCAACCACCCGTTGTAGCGGAAGCAGCCGGCGAAGAAGAAACAAACGAACAAGATCCACCAGGTCTTGCGACACATCTCCAATGCGCACCCGTGCCTGCAAGAAAGTCCAAAATTTGTTCTGTTGCTTCAGCTGCGTGTCCCTGTGCCTGCAGAGCATTCGCCAGCGATTCTCCTCTGTTGGAGACGAAATGCAGCATGGAGGGCAGTCCGGCGGCCTGGGAAAGGCGGAGCAACAGAGCAACCAGCAAGGCTAAGGCTTGCGATTGAGCGCAGTCCTTGGGAAGGCTCTCTTGCGTGTAGCCGGCACCCTGCAACCTCTCCTTCAGCTCCGCTGACACCTCAGTCGCACCCAAGCACACCGGCCGCTGAGGAACTGCGAGACTCGACACGACAATGTAATGCCTCATCGAGAACCCGCGAATTGCGAAGCCAACACCCGACTCTCCGATCAAGCGGCGGATGTCACCTCCTTCCAAGAGATTCGCGGACCCATTCCTGGCCAGGTCTTCATGCACGTGGACTTCCAAGATCTTCCAAGTAGCATACGCAATTTCTGACACTCGCCAGGGGTGCCAAGCACATCCTCCGCTCGACTGCCGAGCGCAATCGCACAGTCTCGGGCGAGCGACTTAGCGGCCTGGGACTCTGGCGAAAGCTGGAGACCTGCCATGGCACTGAGAAAACCCATCGCAGCTCCAAACCTCCTTTGATATCTTTGCTCACCAAGGTGCACTCTGCCAGCTTCGCGTGTGCTTCCCGAAACTGTAGCAGGCGAACGTGCAAAGCGGCTGCTTCGCCCAGCACACCTTGCACACCATCCCTGCCCCGTCCTTGCCTAAGCTCAAGATGCTGTTTTTGCCGTGACGCCTGCCAGGAGTGCCTCGTGGCGTCTATCCTCCGCATCCTCACAGAGAGCGCGAAGGCTTGAGATCTCCTCAACGGGCCAACAATATGCTCACAATATGCCACACAATACAGTGGCGACAACTGCCGGCAACCGGATCTTACGCCGTCGGCGTCTAGAAGCTTTGTCGTTAGACCCAAGTCACCCAAGTGCACGCTGCCAGTCTTGCACGCAGAGCCGCTAGCGAGACCTGTTGCTGTCACGGACTTCTCAGTGAAAGTGCCTCAACCCCCGTGCGGGCCTTGCTGTGGGAACGCAAAGCCTGGTTGGAGCTCGTTGGCACCTTGTGCTGCAGCTTTGAAGTCAACATAGGTCAAGGCTCGCGTGGTAACGCGCAGAAATCCTCTTTCATGCACCTGAACGAGCGCCACGGTCTCAGGATTTCCATCAGGAAAGCCTTCGGGCTTCCATGCACCAGGATATTGTTGCACTGTGCAGACTGAATGGGTTGCAATGCCCAGCTCCTGCCAGACACACTCGCAAGGCGCGCAGCTCGGACAGAAGCGCCCGAGCCTCCTCACCTCCGAGCGACACAGCAAAATCAAACGCAAACTCTGAACGAGTGCCACATGTGTGGGGGCGGAAATGGTTGAGCGAACTCTGTGGAAGGTTTTCAAAAGTTGGCACGCTGTCGCGCGAGACAGATGTGTGATTCCGATGAGGGAGGGGCGGGGGCAGAGATTGCTGTGAGGGTTCGGTTCGAGCCTGGAGGGGTTGTTGTGTTCCAGCTGTGGGGATCTCAAGACAGACTGAGGCATCAGGACGACGGCTGTCATGCGTAGGCAAGGGATAATGCACAAATCGACTGATCCATGGGTCCGAAGGCAGATATGGGTCCAGACTACAGACCCAGGTGGGTAAAGATCTACATCTAGATGTATATTTACATTTACATAGTTCTAACAAGTATATGTGCATGCCTTTATTTCTTTATTCAATGGTATGTATAGAGGGGTATGCATGTGGCAAACACATAGACAAACCAAAAAAACATGCACACACCGACGGATATTGGATGAAGAACCGAGGATAGATTAGGCACCTTGGCCCGGGCTCAGCCACGCGAAGGACACGCAGAGCCGCTGCAAGGATTCTGCACAGCCTGCCAGCGAAACCTTCCCGACAGGTGTCCGAAGATACTGCGCCCAGATACACGGTACCTGAGTTCTAAGCTTCTACATTTCTAACGAGTGAAACTCGCACCTGTTAAGACTAAGACTCTTCGCCGGTCTTTCACAACCCCACCACGAAATGGGTCTCGCCTCTCGTCAAGCTGAATGCTGTAAGCTTCGCTATGCCAAAGTGGCACGCAGAGGCAAAGAAAAGTCTTAACATGAACCACCAATAGCTAATAGCTTGCTCAGGGGAGGATTGTTTCTGGGTGCAGACTAGAGCCCACTCTCGCTTCACAATGTGCTCTGGCAGCAGGACCTGCCTTCCATGCGATGCCAGACTGGCATAGTCGCACGTGGAGGTGGCGGCTTGAGAGACGATGGAGCCTTCAGCAAGGTCACAAGTACTTCTTTAACCACCCTGTTTTGCTCAATTTTCGGCGCAGAACCCAGGCATGTGCATATGTCTGGAGCCTGTTCTTGATAGGTCCACCCGTGTTTATCTGACTATGAATGTGGTGGCATGAAAGCATCCATACCCTGCCACCAGATGTACACGTGCATGTACATGTATTTGTATGTACATAAACGTATGTGCGTATACATACATACATGCATGCATACGTACGTACGTACGTACATACGTACGTACGTACATACATACATACATACACATATTATAATATATTATATTATATTATACTATATTATATTATATTATATTATATTATATTATATTATACTATATTATATTATATTATATTATATTATACTATATCATATCATATCATATTCTATTCTA